TCAGCCAGCCTTCCTGTGGTTCTGGGTGATGTCTGTTCTGTCTTTTAGTTGTATTTTTGAAGTGGTTGTGCAAGGCAGCAAACTCCAGTGTTGACCTATGCCGCCATCTTGGGTTCTCTCCTCCATTGATTTTTTTCAAAACTGCCATTCTTGAGATAATTTTCTCAATCTGTTGGGATTTTGCTTCTAGGCAATTGCTGTCAGTTTGGCTTAAATAAAATCATAAAAATTCTCTACAGATTTGAATGTTTCTTTGGTTGACAGAGGGGAACAGAGTGTGGGGACAGGAGCCAGGGTGAAGAAGTCAAAACAATAGATGATTCTGTGGAGGGTGTGGAGACAACGCCTTGAGGCAGTGCCCACACACCCCTCCCCCCCTTCACACACAGTATAAAGGCCAGGAGGATACAGAAGGATGCACAGCTGCCCAGCCTGGTGACACAGAACCACCCTGCACAGACCATGGGAGGCTCCCACCTCAGCGCCTTTCACATCCTACAGGGTGAGAATTTGGGGGCCCCTATGGGAGGAGCAAGGGAACCCCTGGCAGCACCCCTTCCATGCCTCTGCTTCCTTGTCTGCCCACCCCCCACCGAGGACAAATAGGAGGCACCTCTGGCAGCTCTGGGCCTGACATGGAGGAAGCCACATGGTTAGGCGGGAGCCGCGGCACATGGGAGAGCAGCTAGCAGTGCCCGGGGAACCCCCACGCCCAGTAGGAAACCCTCGGGTGCTCTAAGGGTCTGTTCCCCACCCCAGAGGGATCTCCACGCTCCTTCCAGATCCACTTTGGAAGCTGCTCCCTAAGAGGGGAAACTGAAGCAGGTGGAAGAGAGGGGGCGAATGAGTGCTGTGACCCCCTCAGGAAGTCACTCTTAACAGATGGCAGAGTGGGGCCTAGGGAGCTAAGGGGGGACCCTTCTACAGCAGGGTGACCCCCACACTTCTCCCATTGTGTGGCAGAGGATGCCCCGGAGACTCCCCATTTTTACTCCCAGAGACCCAGCTGGGCCTCAGCTGTGCCTTGAAGGGCTTTGCTGCTGTGGGTTTAACCTGAGCTCTGCTGTGACTTCCCCCTTGCCACTCTTCCTGCCCCACCCAGGGTGGCTCTAGCAGTGGTTCTCAATCTGTGGGTCGCGACCCCTTAACTACATCCTGCATATCAGATATTTACATTAAAATTCATAACAGTAGCAAAATTATAGTTATGAAGTGGCAACAAAAATAATTTTATGGTTGGGGGTCACCACAACATGAGGAACTGCATTAAAGGGTCGTGGCATTAGGAAGGTTGAGAACCACTTTGCAAGGATTATCAGGTTATCAGGGCAGCTCATTGCCTGGGCAACCAGGCAACAAAGAGAGTTAAGAAATGACATTTGGCCCTGACCGCTTTGGCTCAGTGGATAGAGCGTCAGCCTGCGGACTCAAGGGTCCCAGGTTCGATTCGGATCAAGGGCATGTACCTTGGTTGCCGGCACATCCCCAGTAGGGACTATGCAGGAGGCAGCTGATTGATGTTTCTCTCTCATCGGTGTTTCTGACTCTCTATCCCTCTCCCTTCCTCTCTGTAAAAAATCAATAAAATATTTAAAAAAAAAAAAAAAGGAAGAAAGAAAGAAATGACATTTGGCTGCCCTAACTGGTTTGGCTCAGTGGATAGAGCATTGGCCTTCAGACTGAAAGGTCCCAGGTTCCATTCTGGTCAAGGGCATGTACCTTGGTTGCAGGCAAATCCCCAGTTGGGGGTGTGCAGAAGGCAGCTGATCGATGTTTCTCTCTCATCGATGTTTCTAACTCTCTATCCCTCTCCCTTCCTCTCTGTAAAAAATCAATAAAATATATTTAAAAAAGAAAAAAAAGAAATGACATTTGGAGTGCCACTCAGAACTTCCCCAGTCCACAGGGATGGGGCTGCCTGTGCTGGCCCAGGGTGCCAGGCGTGAACTGTTTTTTTTGTTGTTGTTGTTTGTTTGTTTGTTTGTTTTTATCAAGGTGAGGTGTAATTTACAAAGCATATAATTCGCCTGTTGCATGGTTACAATTAGATGATTTTCAGTAAATTTGCCGAGTCCGTGTGGAGCACAGCTGAAGGCGGCGATGTGTCAGGGGCCAAGTCACAGAGCCCCTGATCCTCACTTTCCAAATCTGTGAAATGGGGCAGAGCAAGGCTGGTCTCCACTTTAAAGGCTTGTGTTAAGGGTTGAGTCCTGGTTCACAGTAAGAATTAAGTAACATTATTGTTGTTGTTGTTGTTGTTAATGTTACTATTATTATTATTTCACTGGTAGGTCTTGGGTATGGGCTGCAGGAGGGGGACCCTTAGCAGGAGGAGCAAGGAGAGAATGACTGCCCCACCCCTGCCACAGGGGCCCCAGGCAGGAATCTGACTGCTAAGGGCTCAGCTAGGGGAATGCAAACCAGATGGGACTGGGAGCAGCGACCAACCACCCCTCTCCAGGCTCCTGTTTGGGTGACTTCCTGGGCCCCAGGTGGAGGTCTGGCCAGCAGCCTCTGTGGTGGGGCAGGAAAGCCCAGCTCAGTACAAAGAACCCCCCTTGCAAGGTCTGGAGAACTTGACCCCTCACTTCCATCTTCCCCAGCCCCCTCTTCGCCAGTTTCTCCATAAGCATTTTCGGTGCTCTGAGCCTCAGTTTGTCCATCTGCAGAGTGGACATAAACAGAGTCTCTGTCTCATAGGACAATTGTGAGCATAAATGTTGCTACTGGGGCTTTGAGAGCTGGGGACCAATCGGCCCAGGACCCACCCTGCCAGGGAAGGTCATTCTGTGGTCTGTCCTACAAAGAGGAAGTGGGTTTCCACCAAAGGGAGAACTAACCAAACCCTGTGGCCAGAGAGGAGGAAGACAGGAGTTCTAGCCTGTTTACCGCATCTTCGAGAGCCTTGGGGAGGGTGTGAGGGTCTTTGCCCTCTGCTGGCCTGAGGGTATCAAGTTTGAATATTGGGACTGAGTGCGCAAGAGACCCTCCAGTCTGTACCCTCCACAGCTCCTCAAGTTGTGCTCACAATGACCGACCCCAAAATTCCCCTGAGAGCCCCTCTATGTGCGACTGGGAGCCCCTCCATGGGGGACTGGGAGCCATGAGTTATCTCTTCATTTGCCCAGGAAGTGACTCACTCCTGCCCTGCCTCCCTGGCCCCCATGCCTCCACCTGCTGCCCCCTATCTGGCCTCCCTGGATATCTGGGTCTGGGATGCCCCCACAGCATCTCTAGATCTGCAGAGACTGGATGGGTCCCTCAAGCCCTCTCCATACCCCACCTGCTGCCCAGGTGCCCGCACTCACTCCCGCCCTCCCTTTCCCTTCTCTGTTTCTCTATCTGGCTCTCCATCTCTCTATCTCTCCATGTCTCTCTGGCATCTTTTTCTCTCTCTTTCTAGGAGTTCCCTATTTCTCTGTCCATCTCTCTAGATCACTGTCTTCTTAACTCTACCTCTCTGTTTCTCTCCTGTCTCTATGTCTCTCTATGTCTTCTGTCTCTCTCTCATCCATTCATTTTCCCTCATCTCTGTCTCCCTCTTTCTCCTCCAAGTCTCTAGTGCCTTCTCTATCTTTCTGTCTCTCTGTTTCTGTCTCCTCTTCATTTTCTCTCCATCTGTCTCCTTGTCTGTCCCTCTGATGAACAGGTCCTCCTCTCTAGACCCCCTGCTGACTTAAGAAGAACCCCAAGGACATGCCCTGGGATGGGGTGCCCTGAGCAGCAGAAAGAGCAGGATTGGGGGTCCCGTGCAGCACCACCCCTAACATGAGCCCCCAGCATCTTCCTGTGTGCAGGGAGCCAGGGCGTAAAATGTCACCACTGGGTCCCAAGCTGGTCATTGTGGTGGACAGATGTGGGTGCAGTGTGCTTGCACCTGTGTCCCTGAGGAAGGGTATGGGCCAGAGCACCTTAGATTTGGGAGATTGAGAGGACACCTGGCCTAACCCCTTCATTTTTACATAAAGAAATGACGGCAGTAAGCACTCTGACACACCAGGCAGTACTTGTCTGCTTAACTCTCACACTCTAGGAAATGGGTCTCCTCTTCATCCCCATTCTACAGAAGGGGAAACTGAGGAATTGAGGCACCTGACCAAGGTCTGGGAGTAGAACCAAGGCCACATGGCTCCAGTATGTTTCCTGAACTGCTGCTCACAGGTCAGCAGAAGCCAAGACCCCTGGCAGGCTCAGGCCCCTCCTCATCCTTCAGTTCCTGAAAGACACCGTCAGGCGATGGGTGCAGACCCTCTGGCCATGGGCATTGGAGGCCAGGGAGGTTCCACCTGCCCACTCTCTCCTTGAGTAATGGACAGGGCCCGAGCCTGGGAGGGGTGAGCCGCCCCATCCCTCAGATGTGTCACCCTCAGGCCTCCCTTCCCTGTTCTGTGCCCCCCTGACCCTCCATCTCTCTGTTCCAGTGCTGTGTGTCCTGCTGACTCTGTTGGAAGATGGACCCCAGAGCACCAAGGGTGAGTCTGCCGGGAGTAACTCAGTCCCCAGCCAGAGTCCCAACCCCACCTGCACCTCTCATCCCAGGCAGAGAAAGGCCTGTTGCAGGAGGAAGCTCAGGGTTGCCCTTCCCAACACCCTCCCCAGCCTCTGGCTCAGCTCTCATCTTCTGACCATGGTCTCCGTCCCACAGCCTATGCCTGTCCCCAGCAGTGCCCTCCAGACTCCTCATGTGTCAATGGCACTGCCTGTTACTGTGATCCAGGATTCCAAACTCCATTTCGAAAGAACAAAGTCAATCACGGGGAGACTTGTGAAGGTACAGAGGCTTGGGGTGGTGGAGGGCTACATGGAGACGGAATGGTTGTTGGTGGCCTCAGCCTTTGTTCTCAGACCATCATGAAGGACAGAGAAAAGAGAAAGAAAAAGATATGAAGGTGGAAAATGCCAAGTGAATAAACATGGCTTAGTACAGAAGGAGGAGCTGGGTTTCCAGGACCCTGGAACTGTTGTATCACTAATCAGCGAGCTGGACAAGACGCCTTAATGAGCCAATTAGTTAGGAGTCATCTTTATTGTGCGCAGGTTCAGAGCAGATTACCTCTGTCAAATTCTGAACACCCAAGAGAGGAAGCATTCTCTTTTTATATTTTCTCAGGTCCTTGTGTAAGTTATTTTTGCAGACAGCTTGTGACCTTGAGTATATCTCATATCTAGCAAACACCTGTCATATCTATACAGACACCTGTAATCCTAGGTACATATCTATACCATACCTGGCATCAGTATCAGCGTATCAGTCCCTTATGTTAGATTGCTAACTTATAAGGTTAGACAATTAAGTTTATCTTTTCTATTATTCAAACTAAAATAGTTATTTTTACAGAATAAGAGACCATCTAAAAATAACATAGTTGACTTATAGAGCAAGGGACTATCTAAAAATAGCAGAAAATTTCAAACAGCAGTTTTTCCAAAGGAAGGATCATTACTATGCTTCAGAACCTATGCCTCAGTTTACCCTTCCAGGACTGGGGAGTGGGATGCTGAGCTTCCACCCACCCACCACTTTAGCACCTCCTCCTGTATCCAAATCCAGGTGACAGACAGAAAGCTGAGCAGGGCAGAGCTGATTTAGTGGGTTTCAGGAATGGCTTGCTCCAGCCACATCAGTGCTGCCTGAGAGTCTGAATATTTCCTAAAAGACACTGATTGAGCATCAGGCTCCATGCTAGGCTCTCTGCCCTGAGGGCACACATGGCTTTGGGAGGTGACCCTTTACCCCATTTTATTTCAGACATTGACGAATGTAAACAACGGGTGATAGTGACCTGTGGAATAGACGCACGCTGCCATAACACGAAGGGGAGCTACTACTGCACATGCAGACTAGGATACAGGCCTGGTTCTGGGGCAACAAAGTTTAATAATGCAAGTGAGAACACATGTCAAGGTAAGAATGTCCTGCATCTTCCATCTCCCCGTCTATGAGGTTTGGAGTCACCAGAGCCATTCCTGCAGCATACAGGGTGCCAGGCCCTGGATATAGGTGCAGCACCAGTTCTGAGTGGGACAAGTGTGCCTGTGGCTGTCCCACTAAAACAGAGAGGTGTGGTGTCCTTTGAGCCAGGACCCAGGTCCTGGTTTTGCACTTTGACAGCTGGGTATGCAACACCAGCCAGGACACTTATTCAGAAACTAGAGGCCCAGTGCACGAATTCGTGCACCAGTGGGGTACCTCGGCCTAGCCTGTGGGATCGTGCCAAAACCAGCTCTCCAATATCCCTGATGGGTCCCGGATTATGAGAGGGTGCAGGCCAGACCAAGGGACCCCACCAGTGCACTATGGAGTTCGGGGAGGACACAGAAGGTTGGCCAGCTGGGAAGGGAACAAGGGTGGGCTCCAGGGCGTGTCCAGCCCATCTTGCTCAGCCCCGATCGGCCGGACCACAAGAGCAAGCTAACCTACCAGTTGGACCATCTGCCCCTTGGTGGTCAGTGCACATCATAGCGACTGGTCGACTGGTGGACTGTCTGCCTCCTGGTGGTCAGTGCACATCATTGCAAGTGGTTGAGGGGCCTTAGCATATCATTAGCATATTATGCTTTGATTGGTTGAACAGCCTACTGGTCGACCAGACACTTAGCATATTAGGCTTTTATTATATAGAATTACTGGTAATGGCGAGATGTGATAATATTACTGTGATTGTGTGTGTGTGTGTGTGTGTGTGTGTGTGCGTGTTTTTTAAAAGAGCACCTAACTTTTACAGATAAAACCAAAGGTAGCTATGCCTTTTGTTAACTGTATGACCTTGGACATGTTCTTTACCACTCTGTGCCTCAGTTTACCCATCTATAAAAGGGAGTGACAATGGTGCTTACCTCCCAAAAATGCTTGGAAAGTATATGTGATCATAGAGCACAACATAGTGGTTTTTAGACTATACCCATTCTTTCTCTTTACTTTTTATCTTTATTGCTGAAAGTATTAACATAAGTCCTATTTTTTCGTCATTAACCTCTACCAGCCCGCACCCGCCTTGCCCCCTCAGGTCCGCACCACCTCATGGTCTGTGTCCACGGGTTATGCATAAGTTCATTGGTTGATCTCTTACCACCCACCCTCCCCTGCCTTCCTTCTAAGGTTCAACCGTCCATTCCATGCTTCTATGTCTCTGGGTCTATTTTTGTTCATTAGCTTTTTTACTTTTCTTTCTCTGACTGGCTTATTTCCCTTAGCACAATACTTTCCAGGTCAATCCATGCTGCTGCAAATGGTAAGAGTTCTTTTTTTCATACAGCCACGTAGCATTCCATTGTGTAAATCAAGCATGTCAAACTCAAAGGCTAACAGAGGCCAAATAAATGAGACAATGCAGCCTGCAGGCTACAAATTTGACAAGATTGGTGTTAATGTACCAAAGTTTTTTTATCCACTCATCTGTTGATGGGCACTTAAGCTGTTTTCAAATCTTAATTATTGTAAATTGCACTGCTGTGAACATAAGATTGCATATATTCTTTCTGATGTGTGTTTTGATTTTCTTAGGATATTTTCCTAGAAGTGGGATCACTGGGTCAAATGGGAGTTCCATTTTTAATTTTTTGAGGAAACTCCATGTTCTTTTCCACAATGGCTGCAGCAGTCTGCATTCCCCTGAGCTCCCTTTTTCCCTCATCCTCACCAACACTTGGCATTTGTTGATTTGTTGATAATAGCCATTCTGCCAGGTGTGAGGTGATATCTCATTGTCATTTTGATTAGCATCTCTCTGATGATTAGTGATTTTAAGCATTTTTTCATATGTCCTTTGGATTTCTGTATGTCCACTTTGGAGAAGTATCTATTTAGGTCCTTTGCCCAATTTAATTGAACTGTTTATCTTCCTTTTGTTAAGTTAAACGAGTTCTCTGTATATTTTGGATATTAACATCTTATCAGATGTGTCATTGGCAAATGTGTTTTCCCATGCAGTGGGCTCTCTTGTTGTTTTGTTGATGGTTTCTTTTGCTCTGCAGAAGCTTTGTATTTTGATATAGTCCCATTTGTTTATTTTCTCCTTAGTCTCCATTGTCCTAGGAGATGTATTGGCAAACATATTGCTACAAGAGATATCTGAGATTTGGGTGCCTATAGTTTCTTCTAGGATTTTTATGGTTTCACATCTTGCATTTAAGTATTTTATCCATTTTTACTTTATTCTTGTGTATGGTGTAAGTTGGTGGTCTAGTTTCTTTTATTGCAAGTACCTGTTCAATTTTTTTAATATATTTTTATTGATTTCAGAGAGGAAGGAAGAGGTAGAGAGAGAGAGAGACATCCATGATGAGAGAGAATCATAGATTGGCTGCTTCTTTCAAGTCCCCCACTGGGGATCGAGCCCACAACCCAGGCATGTGCCTTTGATCAGAATCGAACCTGGGACTTTTCAGTTTGCAGGCCAATGCTCTATCCACTGAGCCAAACTGGTTAGGGCCCAACACTATTTATGAAAGAGACAGTCTTTCCTCCATTGTATTTTCTTACCTCCTCTGTCAAATATTGAGCATAATGGCTTGATTGGATTTCTAGGTTCTCTGTTCTGTTCCATTGAACTATATGCCAGTTCTTGTGCAAGGACCAAGCTATTTTGAGAACAGTGGCTTTGTAGTATAACCTGATATCTGGTCTTGTGATCCCTCCAACATTGCTCTTCTTTCTCAATATTGCTGCAGCTATTTGGGGTCTTTTTGGTTTCATATAAATTTTTGGAGTGTTTGTCCTAAGTCTGTGAAATATGCTGTTGGTATTTTAATACACATTGCATTAAATATATAGATTGCCTTGAGTAGTATGGACATTTTTATGATGATTATCCTACCAATCCATGAACATGGTATATTCTTCCAGTTGTTTATATCTTTCTCTAGCTCTTTTTTCAACATCCTGTACTTTTCTGAGTACAGGTCTTTTACCTCCTTCGTTAAGTTTATTTCTAAGTATTTTAATGCTTTTGTTGCAGTGGTAAATGGGTTTATTTTTTTAGTTTCTCTTTATGAGAGTTCATTATTGGTGACTAAAAATGCCATGGATTTTTGGGTGTTAATTTAGTATCCTGCTACTTTTCTGAATTCATTTATTAATTCTAGTAGTATTTTGGTGGAGGCTTTAGGGTTTTCTATGTACAGTATCATGTCATCTGTGAATAATCAGAGTTTTACTACCTCCTTTCCAATTTGGATGCCTTTTATTTCTTCTTCTTGTCTAATCACTATGGCTAGGAATTCCACTATTACGTTGATCAACAGTGGTGAAAGCAGATATCCCTGCTTTCCTATTCTTAGGGGAAATGTTTTTAGTTTTTGCCCATTGAATATGATATTGGCTGTAAGTTTGTCATACATGGGTTTTATTATCTTGAGGTATGATCCCCCTATTCCCATATTGCTGAAAGTTTTTATCAAAAAAGGGGGTTGTATTTTGTCAAATGCTTTTTCTGCACCAATTGATATGATCATGTGATTTGTGTCTTACAATCTGTTTATGTGCTGTATCACATTTATATACTTGTGAATATTGTACCAGCCTTGCATTACTGGAATAAATCTCACTGGGTCATTGTGTATGATCTTTTTCATGTATTGCTGGATCTGATTTGCAAAAATTTTGTTGAGGATTTTAGCCTCTATGTTCATCAGTGATATTGGCCTGTAATTCTCTTTCTTTGTAGTGTCTTTATCTGGTTTTGGTATTAGGATAATTCTAGCCTCATAGAAAGAACTTGGAAGTGTTCCTTCCTCTTGGATTGTTTGAAATAATTTGAGGAGGATAGATGTTATTTTTGTTTTGATAAATAACCAAATAAATATTTGGTAAAACTCCGTATGAAACTGTCTGGACTGGTGCTTTTGTTTGCTGGAAGTTTGTTGTTTTTTGTTTTTGTTGTTGTTGTTTTTTACTTCAATTTCATAGGAGGTTATCCACCTATTAAGGTTTTCTGATTCTTCCTGATTGAGTTTTGGAAGGTTGTATTTTTCTAGGAATATGTCCATTTCTTCTAGGTTGTCCAGTTTGTAGGAATTAAGTTGTTCATAGTATTTTTTTTATGATCCTTTGTATTTCTGTGGAATCAGTTGTTACTTCACCACTTTTCTTTCTGATTTTCAGTCCTCTTTGTTTCCTAGTGAGTCTGGCTAGAAGTTCATTAATCTTGTTTATTCTTTCAAAGAACCACCTCTTGGTTTTTTTATCTTTTGTATTGTTTGTTTGTTTGTTTTGGTTTTTGTGGTTTGTTTGTTTGTTTTTGGACTCTGTGTCATATATTTCCTACTTTCTACTTACTCTCAACTTTTCTTGATGTTCTCTTTCTAATTCTTTAAGTTGTAGTGTTAGATAACTTATGAGCTTTCCTTGTTTTTTGAGATAGGCCTATAGTGCTATGAATTTTCCTCTTGGGACTGCTTTCACTGTGCCCCATAGATTTTGGATTTTTGTGTGTTCATTTTCATTTGTTTCCAGGATGTTTTTTATTTCTTCTTTGGTAACCCACTCATTGTTTAATAACATGCTATGTAGCCTGCATATGTTTTATTGTTTTGGGGTGCTTTTATTGTACCTGATTTCTAATTTCATGTCATTGTGGTCTGAGAAGATACTTGATATGATTTCAATCTTCTTGAATTTGTATAGACTTAGCATGTGTCCTAACATGTGTTCTGTCTTTGAAAATGCCCCTTGTGCACTTGGGAAGAATGTATATGCTGTAGCTTTGGGGTGGAATGTTCTGAAGATGTCAATTAGTTTCATCTGATCAAGTGTGTAACTTAGGATTGCTGTTTCATTGTTGATTTTTTTGCCTAGAAGATTTAGCAAGTTTTGTCAGTTGGATATTAAAGTTCCCTATTATGGTTGTATTGTTGTGATATCTCCCTTGGTATTCTCCAGAAGTACTTTTTATATATTTGGATGCTCATGTTTGGGTATATATATCTTTACCAGAATTATATCCTGTTGTTGTATTGATCCTTTTAGTATTGTGAGGTGGTTTCCTTATCTCCTGTGATGGCCTTCACTTTGAGGTCTCTTTTGTCAGATATAAGTATAGCTACCACTGAGTTTTTAAAATTTCCATTTGCCTGAAAAATACTTTTCCATCCCTTCACTTTCAGATTTCATGAGTCCTTTGTTCTGAGGTGGATCTCTTGTAAACAGCGTATATATGGGTCATGTTTTCTTATCCATTCAGCTACCCTTTGCCTTCTGATTGGAACATTTAATCCATTTATGTTTAAGGTTATTATTGATAGGTACTCATTTGTTGCCATTTTTATTCTTTATGCCTGTGTTCCTCCCTCCTTTTAGATTTCTTCTTTTTACAACAGTCCCTTTAGCATTTCTTCCATTGCTGGTTTGGTGGAAATAAACTCCTTCAGCCTTTATTGTCTGAAAGTTCCTGACTTCACCTTCAATTTTGAATGATAGTCTTGCTGGATAGAGTATTCTTGGATTTAGTACCTTGATTTTCATCACTTTGTATATACTTCATGCCATTACCTTCTGGCCTGATGTGTTTCTTTTGAGAAATCCATTGATAATCTAATGGGAGATCCCTTGTAGGTAACTTTCTGTCTCTCTCTTGCAGTCTTTAAGATTCTTTTTCTGTCTTTTATATTTGCCCATTTAATTATGGTGTATCTTGGTGTGGGTCCTTTTGGGTCCATCTTGATAGGGACTCTCTGTGCTTCATGAACTTGTGTGACTTGTTTCTTCCCCAAATAAGAGATCATTTCTGTCATTATTTCTTTGAACAGGTTTTATATTCTATGCTCAGCTTTCTCTCCTCTGGCACCCCTATTATGCAGATATTGTTTTGTTTCATGTTGTCGCTAAGCTGGCCTAAAGTTTTCTGATTTTTAGTGTTTGTTTTTATACAGTTGTTGCTCTGTTTGGGTATTTTTTTCTACCTTGTCTTCTACCTCACTGATTCCATCCACAGCTTCTTCTAGTCTACTGTTAAACCATCCAGGGTGTTCTTTATTGCAGCTATGTCATTCTTCATTTCCTCTTGATTCTTATTCAAGTTTATGTACTTTTCATTCAACTCATTATATTTCTCATTGAGTTTCTGTAATTCTCATTCAGATGTTTGAGCATCCTTATAACCATTACTTTGAATTCTTTATCTGACAAATTACTTTCCTCCATTTCATTTAGTTTCTTTTCTGGTGATTCCTCTTTTTATTTCATATGTGGATTGTTTCTTTGCCCCCACCCCCATGTTTGCTGTTCCTTTATTTGTTTCTATTTATTAAGTCAAATTGCTATGCCATCTAGATTATTTGGGTTGGTCTTATGTAATAGGTGTTTTATGGGATCCAGTAGTGCAGTTTCTCAGATCTCCTGGGCTGGGTGTTCTAGGAAGACACCATACTTTAGTCATTTGGATTCTCCTGTTTTTGTTGGGTCTTGAGTGTTATTGTCCCATTTGTGGATGGAGTCTCGTTTCAGGGTGTCTGATTATGTGACTCACCTCTGACCCTATTGTGCCAGCTTTTGTGGAGGTGCTGATTGAACGGCAGAGAATACAAAAAAATAAATAAATAAATAAAAATGAAGAAACAGAACAAGAATGTACACAAGACCCTCATAGCCAAGACAAAAGTGACCACCAGAGAAAAGAGAATTAGGAAAGAGAAAACAGAGCAAGAATGATAGAAATAAAAGGAAAGAAAAAATATGGGAAGAAAAGACAACACAAAAAACAAATAAACAAAAAGCACAAACCACAAACACCAAATAATAGGGGGAAGAACTTGTAAATACAGAACTTAAATAAAGAAAATAAGAATAAAGAATTAGTGGAATAGGATAAGGAGCATGTTTTAGAATTAATGAGGGTGAAAAGAAATGAGAAGATAATCAAAAAAATTGAAAAGAAGAAGAGAGCAGATAGGCCTAAATTAAGGAAGTGAAATAAGAAAATAAGAGAAAAAGAAGAGAAAGAGAAGAGAGAATAAAATTGAGTAGTCCAAAAAACAGAGAAAAGAATATTGAATAGGAAAAAGGAAGAGGAAAATTAGATATATGAACAAAACAACAGAGACTAGAGTAATTACAAATCAAATGTGGATGAATGAACCTCTGGGCAGAACTCCTGCCACAAATCCACCCAATGCCAAAACACTGAGGGCAGCTATGAGTGCCGCTGCAGCCCTGGCTTGAAGCCTATTCCTAGGTCCCCCAATGGCCCAAACAACACCGTTTGTGAAGGTTCAGAGTTCAGATCCCATAAGTATACATCTTCTTTACTTGGCTGAGCCATCTGAAAGGAAGCTGCCATAATGGTTTTGGCAGAGAATGGGGCAGCATTATCAGCAATAGTGCATGCCCAGTGCAGGCAGTGAGGAGAGGGTGAACTGAGCCGAGCATGGCTGAGTTTCAGATTCTGTTCTAATAAGGGAAGAAGTACAGCTCTGGGCTCAGCGATGCCACAGCCCACAGTCTCAGGCCATGGGAGCTGTCAGTGTGGCAGCCACCCTGGTTAGAAGTCCATCGCAGGTCCTCCCCTACTCCATCGTGACCTACAGTGTGGGACATATCTTTGTGATGACACTTGCACACACTGTCCTTTCCTCGTCCACCTTGCAGGGGCCCTCTGAGCTTAATGTGCTTTTAAGGTAGAAAATGTCACCACAAATTTGTATATGTCGGGCTAGGTGGCTTTTAGGCAGGGTTTAGTGGGGTGTCCAGAGTGTAATTTGAGAGAAAGGGCAGGAGCTTTGGGGTCAGGGAGTGGAGGGAGGCCTGACACTATCTCTGCTTTGTCCTCAGATGTGGATGAATGTACCTCAGGACAAAACTCCTGCCACAAATCCACCCAATGCCACAACACCGAGGCCAGCTATGAGTGCCGCTGCAGCCCTGGCTGGAAGCCGATTCCTGGGTCCCCCAATGGCCCACACAACACCATCTGTGAAGGTTCGGAGTTCAGATCCCATAAATGAACCACATCTTCTTTACTTTGCTGAGCCACCTGGAAGGCAGGTGCCATAAGCTTTGGCAGAGCAGGGGCAGCACTTTCAGCAACAGTGTGTGCCCCAGTGCAGGCAGTGAGGAGAGGGCACCCTGGGCCAGGCAGGGCTGAGCTTCAGAAATGTTCTAATAAGGGCATGAGTGTGGCAACCTCCCTTGTTAGAAATCCATCACAGGCCCTCCCATAGACTATCCTGCCCCACAGTAGGGGTCAAGGGTTTGGGATGACATTCAGCCCTGCCCTGTCCACCTTGCTGGGGTGCTCTGACTTTATGGAGCTTTTATAGTGGAAAATGTAACCACAACTTTGTATATGTCGGTCCAGGTGGGTTTTAGGTAGGGTTTAGCATTGTGTCCTGGGTGTAATTTGAAAGAATGTGCCGGAGCTTTGAGATCAGGGAGTGGAGAGAGGGCCTGACACTCTCTCTGGTTTGTCCTCAGATGTAGATGAATGTACCTCGGGGCAAAACTCCTGCCACAAATCCACCCGATGCCACAACACCGAGGGCAGCTATGAGTGCCGCTGCAGCCCTGGCTGGAAGCCAATTCCTGGGTCCCCCAATGGTCCAAACAACACCGTCTGTGAAGGTTCAAAGTTCAAATTCCATAAACGTTGTCTTATTTATTTTTTCAGGGATCTTAAAGGAAGCTGCCAAAAAGCTCATTGGCAGTGAAGGGGGCACACTTTCAGCAGTAGTGTGTGCCCAGTGCTTGCAGTGAGGAGAGGGGACCTGGGCTGAGCAGGGCTGAGCTTCAGATTCTGTTCCAATAAGGGCAGGAGTGCAGCTCTGGATGAAGTGGTGCCACAGCACACAGCCCACCACCTCAGCACGTGGGAGCTATCAGTGTGGCAGCCTCCTCGGTTAAAAGTCCAACACAGGTCCTCCCACACTGCATCCTGCGCCACAGGTGGGGGAACCAGCTTTGGGATGACACTTACACACACACACACACACACACACACACAGTCCTGCCCTGTCCACCTTGCAGGGGCGCTCTGAGCTTATGGTGCTTTTACAGTGGAAAACGTCACCACAAGTTTGTATATGTAGGGCTAGGTGGGCTTTAGGCAAGGTTTAGTGGGGTGTCCAAAGTGTAATTTCAGAGAATGAGCAGGAGCTTTGCATGCAATGAGTTGAGATATCACCTGACACTCTCTCTGGTTTGTCCTCAGATGTGGATGAATGTACCCCGGGGCAAAACTCCTGCCACAAATCCACCCGATGCCACAACACAGAGGGCAGCTATGAGTGCCGCTGCAGCCCTGGCTGGAAGCCGATTCCTGGGTCCCCCAATGGCCCAAACAACACCGTCTGTGAAGGTTCAGAGTTCAGATCCCATAAATGAACCACATCTTCTTTACTTTGCTGAGCCATCTGAAAGGCAGCTGCCATAAGGGGTTTTGGCAGAGGAAGAACAGCACTTCCAGCAATAGTGTGTGCCCAGTGAAGACAGTGAGAATAGGGGGACCTGGCCAGGCAGGGCTGAGCTCTGATTCTGCTCTAATAAGAGCAGAAATATAGCTCTGGACACAGTGGTGCCAGAGCCCACAGCCCACAGTCTCAGTGCATGGGAGTTATCAGTGTGGCAGCCATCACAGGTTAGAAGTCCATTACAGGACCTCCCACAATCCATTCTGCCCCACAGAGTGGTTCACATCTTTGGGATGAAACTTGCACACACACAGTCCTTCCTCGTCCACCTTGCAGGGGCGCTTTGAGCTTATTGTGCTTTTACGGTGGAAAACGTCATCACAAATTTGTATATGTCGGGCTAGGTGGCTTTTAGGCAGGGTTTAGTGGGGTGTCCAGAGTGTAATTTGAGAGAACTGGCAGGAGCTTTACATGCAGGGAATGCAGGGGGGCCTGACACTCTCCGGTTTGTCCTCAGATGTGAATGAATGTACCTCAGGGCAACACTCCTGCCGCCAAATAGCCATATGCCACAACACCAAGGGCAGCCATGAGTGCCACTGCCCCCCTGGCTGGAATCTGATTCCTAAATCGTCCCACGGTAAACAATACATCGCCTGTGAGGGTTCGGAGTTCAGATCCCATAAATGAACCATATCTTCTTTACTTGGCTGAGTCTTCTTAAAGGCAGCTGCCATAAGGAGCTATGGCAGGGAAGGGGCAGCTCCATCAGCAATGGTGTGTGCCCAGGGCAAGCAGTGAGGAGAAGGCACCTGGGCCAGGCAGGGCTGAGCTTCGGATTCTGTCCTAATAAGGGCAGGAGTGTCACTCTGGACACAACGGTGCCACAGCCCACAGCCTCTGCACATTGCAGCTATCAGTGTGTCAGCCTCCCTGGTTAGAAGAACAGCACAGGTCCTCCCACAGTCCACCCTGCCCCACAGGTTGGGATCCAGCTTTACACACACACACACACACACACACACACACAACACAGTCCTGCCCTGTCAACCTTGGAGGGGTGCTCTGAGTTTATGCTGCTTTTACAGTGGAAAATGTCACCACAAGTTTGTATACTATAGGACTAGTTGGCTGTTAAGCAGGGTGTACCAGGGATGTCCTTGGTGTAGTTTGAGAGAAGGGGCAGGAGGGTTGTGTGCAGAGAGTGAAGGGAGGGTCTGAAACTCTCTCTGATTTGTTCTCAGATGTGGATGAATGCACCTCGGGGCAAAACTCCTGCCACAAATCCGCCCAATGCCACAACACCGAGGGCAGCTATGAGTGCCGCTGCAGCCCAGGCTGGAAGCCGATTCCTGGGTCCCCCAATGGACCTAACAACACAGTTTGTGAAGGTGCGGAGTTCAGATCCCATAAATGTCCATCTTCTTTACATGGCTAAGTCTTCTTAAAGGCAGCTGCCATAAGGTGCTTTGGCAGGGAAGGGGCAGCTCCATCAGCAATGGTGTGTGCCCAGTGCAAGCAGTGAGGAGAGGGCACCTGGGCCAGGCAGGGCTGAGCTTCGAATTCTGTTCTAATAAGGGCAGGAGTGCCACTCTGGGCACAAGGGTGCCACTTCCCACAGCCTCAGCACGTTGCAGCTATCAGTGTGTCAGCCTCCCTGGTTAGAAGAACATCACAGGTCCTCCCACAGTCCATCCTGCCCCACAAGTTGGGGTCCAGCTTTGGGATGACACTGGCACACACAACACAGCCCTGGAGTGTCCACCTTGCAGGGGTGCTCTGAGCTTATGGTGCTTTTAAAGTGGAAAATGTCACCACAAGATTGTATACTGTAGGACTAGGTCGCTGCTAAGCAGGGTGTACCAGGGCTGTCCTCGGTGTACTTTGAGAGAAGGGGCAGGAGGGTTGTGTGCAGAGTGGAGGGAGGGTCTGAAACTCTCTCTGATTTGTCCTCAGATGTGGATGAATGCACCTCTGGGCAAAACTCCTGCCACAAATCCACCCAATGCCACAACACCGAGGGCAGCTATGAGTGCCGCTGCAGCCCTGGTTGGAAGCCTATTCCTGGGTCTCCCAATGGCCCACACAACACCGTCTGTGAAGGTTCGGAGTTCAGATCCCATAAATGAACCACATCTTCTTTACTTGGCTGAGCCAGCTGAAAGACAGCTGCCATAGGACTTTGGCAGAGAAAGGGCAACACTTTCAGCAATGATGTGTGCCCGGTGCAGACAGTGAGGAGATGGTGGGCTGGGCTGGGCAGGGCTAAGCTTAGATTCTGTTCCAATAAGGGCAGGAGTGCAGCTCTAGGCGCAGGGGTGCCACAGCCCACAGCCTCAGCACATGGGAGCTGAGGCTGTGGCAACCTCCCTGGTTACAAATTCATGACAGGTCCTCCCCCAGTCCAACCTGCCCAACAGGTTAGGGCACATCTTAGGGATGACACTTGCACACACTCACACACAGTCCTGCCCTGTCCACCTTGCAGGAGCTCTCTAAGCTTATGGTGCTTCTACAGTGGAAAATGTCACAACAACTGTGTATAACTGTCCGACTAGGTAGCTCTTAGGCAGGGTTTAGTGGGGTGTCCAGAGTGTAATTTGAGAGAAAGGGCAGGAGCTTTGGAGTCAGGGAGTGCACCGAGGGCAGCTATGAGTGCCGCTGCAGCCCTGGTTGGAAGCCGATTCCTGGGTCTCCCAATGGCCCACACAACACCGTCTGTGAAGGTTCGGAGTTCAGATCCCATAAATGAACCATATCTTCTTTACTTGGCTGAGTCTTCTAAAAGGCAGCTGCCATAAGGAGCTTTGGCAGGGAAGGGGCAGCTCCATCAGCAATGGTGTGTGCCCAGGGCAGGCAGTGAGGAGAGGGCACCTGGGCCAGGCAGGGCTGAGCTTCGGATTCTGTTCTAATAAGGGCAGGAGTGTCACTCTGGACAAAATGGTGCCACAGCCCACAGCCTCAGCACATTGCAGCTATCAGTGTGTCAGCCTCCCCGGTTAGAAGAACATCACAGGTCCTCCCACAGTCCACCCTGCCCCACAGGTTGGGGTCCAGCTTTGGAATGACACTGGCACACACACACACACACACACACACACACACACACAACACAGTCCTGCCCTGTCCACCTTGGAGGGGTGCTCTGAGTTTATGCTGCTTTTACAGTGGAAAATGTCACCACAAGTTTGTATACAATAGGACTAGTTGGCTGTTAAGCAGGCTGTACCAGGGGTGTCCTCGGTGTACTTTGAGAGAAGGTGCAGGAGGGTTATGTGCAAAGAGTGGAGGGAGGGTCTGAAACTCTCTCTGATTTGTCCTCAGATGTGGATGAATGCACCTCTGGGCAAAACTCTTGCCACAAATCCACCCAATGCCACAACACCGAGGGCAGCTATGAGTGCCGCTGCAGCCCTGGCTGGAAGCCGGTTCCTGGGTCCCCCAATGGCCCACACAACACCGTCTGTGAAGGTTTGGAGTTCAGATCCCATAAATGAACCACATCTTCTTTACTTGGCTGAGCCAGCTGAAAGACAGCTGCCATAGGACTTTGGCAGAGAAAGGGCAACACTTTTAGCAATGATGTGTGCCCGGTGCAGACAGTGAGGAGATGGTGAACTGGGCTGGGCAGGGCTAAGCTTAGATTCTGTTCTAATAAGGGCAGGAGTGCAGCTCTAGGCACAGGGGTGCCACAGCCCACAGCCTCAGCACATGGGAGCTGTCAGTGTGGCAACCTCCCTGGTTACAAATTCATCACAGGTCCTCGCCCAATCCAACCTGCCCAACAGGTTAGGGCACATCTTAGGGATGACACTTGCACACACTCACACACAGTCCTGCCCTGTCCACCTTGCAGGAGCTCTCTAAGCTTATGGTGCTTCTACAGTGGAAAATGTCACAACAACTGTGTATAACTGTCCAACTAGGTAGCTCTTAGGCAGGGTTTAGTGGGGTGTCCAGAGTGTAATTTGAGAGAAAGGGCAGGAGCTTTGGGGTCAGGGAGTGGAGGGAGGCCTGACACTATCTCTGCTTTGTCCTCAGATGTGGATGAATGTACCTCAGGACAAAACTCCTGCCACAAATCCGCCCAATGCCACAACACCGCGGGCAGCTATGAGTGCCACTGCAGCCCTGGCTGGAAGCCGATTCCTGGGTCCCCCAATGGCCCACACAACACCATCTGTGAAGGTTCAGAGTTCAGATCCCATAAATGGACCTCAAATTCTATATGTTGCTGGGCTATCTGAAAGGAAGCTGGCATAAGGTGCTTTGGCAGAGACAGGGCAGCACTTTCAGCAATGGTGTGTGCCCGGTGCAGACAGTGAGGAGATGGTTAACTGGGATGGGCAGGGCTGAGCTTAGATTCATTCTAATAAGGGCAGGAGTGCAGCTCTAGGCGCAGGCGTGCCACAGCCCACAGCCTCAGCACATGGGAACTGTCAGTGTGGCAGCCTCCCTGGTTACAAATTCATCACAGGTCCTCGCCCAGTCCATCCTGCCCAACAGGTTAGGGCACATCTTAGGGATGACACTGGCACACACACACACACACACACACACACACACACACACACACAGTCCTGCCCTGTCCACCTTGCAGGGGTGCTCTGAGATTATGATGCTTCTACAGTGGCAAATGTCACTACAACTTTCTATACTGTCGGACTAGGTAGCTCTTAGGCAGGGTTTAGTGGGTTGTCCAGAGTGTAATTTGAGAGAACTGGCCGGAGCTTTGCATGCAGGGAATGCAGGGTGGGCCTGACACTCTCTGGTTTGTCCTATGATGTGGATGAATGTACCTCGGCACAAAACTCCTGCCACAAATCCACCGAATGCCACAACACCAAGGGCAGCTATGAGTGCCGCTGCAGCCCTGTTTGGAAGCCGATTCCTGGGTCCCACAATGGTCCACACAACACAGTTTGTGAAGGTCCGGAGTTCAGATCCCATAAGTGTACATCTTCTTTACTTGGCTGAGCCATCTGAAAGGAAGCTGCCATTAGGAGCTTGGCAGAGAAGGGGCAGCACCGTCAGCAATGATGTATGCTCAGTGCCGGCAGTGAGGAGAGGGCACCTGGGCCACGCAGGGCTGAGCTTCGGAATCGGTTCTAATAAGGGCATGAGCGCATTTCTGGTAACAGCCCACAGCCTCAGCTCGTGGGAACTCTCAGAGTGGCAGCCTCCCTGGTTAGAAGTCCATTACAGATCCTCCCCAGTCCATCCTCCCCACAGATGGAGGCACAGCTTTGGGATGACACTGGCACACACACACACACACACACACACACACACACACACACACACACACAATTTTGCCCTCTCCACCTTGCAGGGGCGCTCTGAGCTTATGGTGCTTCTAGAGTGAAAAATGTCACAACAACTTTGTATACTGTCAGGCCTGGTGGATTTAAGCAGGGAGTAGAGGGAGGGCCTGACACTCTCTCTGGTTTGTCCTCAGATGTGGATGAATGTACCTCGGGGCAATACTCCTGCCACCCATCCACCCAATGCCACAACACCGAGGGCAGCTATGAGTGCCGCTGCAGCCCTGGCTGGAAGTCGGTTTCTGGGTCCCCCAATGGCCCAAACAACACCGTCTGTGAAGGTTCGTAGTTCATATCCCATAAATCAGTGATTCTCAACCTTCTGGCTTTTTAAATACAGTTCCTCATGTTGTGACGCAACCATAAAATTTTCGTTGCTACTTCATAACTGTAATGTTGCTACTGTTATGAATCGTAATGTAAATATCTGATATGCAGGATGGTCTTAGGCGAACCCTGTGAAAGGGTTGTTTGACCGCCAACGGGGTCGTGACCCACGGGTTGAGAACCGCTGCCATGAATGAACCACATTTATTTACTGGGCTGAGCCATCTTAAAGGTAGCTGCCAGTAGGAGCCTTGGTAGAGTATGGGCAACACTTCCAGCAATGGTGTGTGCCCAGTGCAGGCAGTGAGGAGAGGGTGAACTGGGCCAGGCAGGGCTGAGCTTCAGATTATGTTCCAAAAAGGGCAGGAATACAGCTCTGGGCCCAGCGGTGCCACAGCCCACAGCCCACAGCCTCAGTGCATGGGGAGCTATCAGTGTGGCAGCCTCCCTGATTAGAAGTCCATCACAGGTCCTCCCCCTGTCCCTCCTGCCCCATAGTTAGGGGACACAGCTTTGGGATGACACTTGCGCACACATAGCCCTGCCCTGTCCATCTTGCAGGGGTGCTATGAGCTTAATGTCCTTTTAAGGTTAGAGAATGTCACCACAACTTTGAATATGTCCGGCTAGGTGGCTTTCAGGCACGGTTTAGTGTGGTGTCCAGAGTGTACTCTGAGAGAAGGTGCAGGAGGGTTTATGTGCAGGCAATGCAGGGAGGGACTGACACTCTCTCTGGTTTGTCCTCAGATGTGGATGAATGTACCTCCGGGCAAAAATCCTGCCACAAATCTGCCCAATGCCACAATACCGAGGGCAGCTATGAGTGCCGCTGTAGCCCTGGCTGGAAGCCGATTCTTGGATCCCCCAATGGCCCAAACAACACCATCTGTGAAGGTTCGGAGTTCAGATCCCATAAATGTACCACATCTTCTTTACTTTGCTGAGCCACCTTAAATGCAGCTGCCATAAGGAGCTTTGGCAGAAAAGGGGCAGCACTTTTTGCAATGGTGTGTGCCCAGTGCAGGCAGTGAGGAGAGGAGACCTGGGTCGGGCAGGGCTGAGCTTCGGAATCTGTTCTAATAAGGGCATGAGTGCAGCTCTGGGCACAGTGGTGCCACAACCCACAGCCACAACACGTGGGAACTATCAGTGTGTCAGCCTCCCTGGTTAGAAATCCATTACATGTCCTCCCTTACTCTCGCACCCCACAGTTGGGGAACACCGCTTTGGGATGACACAAAGCCCTGCCCTGTCACCCTTAGAGGCGCTCTGAGCTCACGGGGCTTTTACAGTGTAAAATGTCACCACAACTTTGTATATGTGGGGCTAGGTGGGTTATAGGCAGGATTTAGTGGGGTGTCTTAAGTGTAATTTGTAACAATGAGCAGGAGCGTTACATGCAGGGAGTGGAGGGAGGGCCTGACAATCTCTCTGGTTTCTCCTCCGACGTCGATGAATGTACTTCATGGCAAAACTCCTGCCACAAATCCACCCAATGCCACAATACCACGGGCAGTTATGAGTGCCGCTTGCAGCCCTGGCTGGAAGCCGGTTCCTGGGTCCCCCAGTGGCCCTCACAACACCGTCTGTGAAGGTTTGGAGTTCAGATGCCATAAATGTACCACATCTTCTTTATGCTGCTGGGTCATCTTAAAGGCAGCTGCCATAAGGCGTTTTGGCAGAGAAGGGGCAGCACTTTCAGCAATGGTGTGTACAGAGTGCAGGCAGTTAGGAGAGGGCACCAGGGCCAGGCAGGGCTGAGCCTCTGAATCTGTTCTAATAAGGGCATGAGTGCAGCTCTGTACCAGTGGTAACACAGCCCAGAGCCCACAGCCCACCGCTTCAGCACGTGGGAGCTATCAGTGTGGTATTATTCCTTGTTAGATGTCCATCACAGGTCCTGTCACAGTCCATCCTAGCGCAAAGGTGAACAGTTTTTGAAAGGTTGGAGGTTGGGCCAGGTCACACAGAACAGACTCAAGTTTAGTGTAATCAAAATAGTATTTATGGCTTGTGTAGCCCACCTCCATCCAAGGAACAGCAGCCTCCTGATCACCACACCCTCTGTCTGAGGAACAGCAGCTGTGTGTGAAGCCTCCCCGCACCAGCCAGAGGAGCCACCACAACTGTGAACAGCACCCACCAGAGAAGCTGCTACCAACTGAGGAGCAGCTGCTACCACAACAGCCCGAGGAGCAACCGCAACCCGAGGAGCCACTGCCACCGAAGGAGCAGCCACTGAACGACTCAACATCTAGATACGGCGGTAAGATCAAACATGGGTAGACAAAGAAACCCCCAAAGGAAAGAAAATGAGAACTCGCCAGAAAAGCAGCTAAGTGATACAGAGGCAAGCAACATGACAGAAAAAGAATTCAGATTACGTGTCCTAGAGTGCATAAACCGGATGGAGGAAAAAATCAACAACTTATGCAAGAAGCAAGAAGAAACAGATGAAAAAAATCAATAAATTATGTAAGAACCAAGAAGAAATGAAGAGTGATATAGCTGCAATAAAAAACACCATTGAAAGTTTCAACAGTAGACTAGGAGAAGCGGGGGACCAAATTAGTGAATTAGAAGACAGGGAACCAAAACACACCCAAACTGAACAGCAATTGGAGAAAAAAATTAAAAGACAGGAGGAGAGCCTAAGGGAGCTATGGGACAACATGAAACGAAACAACATACGAATAATAGGGGTTCCAGAACAGCAGAAAAAGGAACAATGGTTAGAAAACCTATTTGAAGAAATAATATCAGAAAACTTCCCAGAGGTGGGAAAGAAAAAAATCACACAAGCACAGAGAG